CAGGCCAACTTTATGGTGCTACGGCCGTATGATCTTATTTGTAAACAACAGAATTTTCTAGTATGGCTTCCAACGTTCCATATTCTAACGAAGAGCTAATGGCATTCTTTACCAACATGCAAAATCAAAGCAGGGCACAAGTTAACTGGCGAACAGGGGCAGCTTCTGCCGAAACAGAGGCCTCAGCATTGGTCGATGATGAAAATTCAGCTGTTGTTACTGAGGGCAGTGAAGACGCTGACAGAAGTTTTGATGAAATGTTTGTTGAAGATGTACGGTCGTACAAATGCATATGTGACACTAGCTGCAGGGGTTTCAAATATACCCAGATGAAACAGAAAGCTTGGGAGGTTATTGCGGAAAAGTATGGGAGGAATGGTGAGTGTTAACTTTCAGTTTAAGCCCTCCTCGCCCTTGAATCGTTTTGAAGCCATAAGAGCACACAAAATAGATTTATTCTGGATTCATTTTTCATTAACATTTTGTTTTTTGCTTAATTGGGAAAAACTTACAAGCAAATTACAAACGATCTTTAGACAAATAAGTTATTACGAGACTCCAGGGTCTCATAGGTTTTGAAAATCTTTCTTATTTGACATGTATGGTCTAAAAATAAAAGTGCATATACTTTTCATCTCACACCGTTTTTTCGTTGTAGTTGATGACTTAAAGAAGATTTGGAAAAACTTCAAAGAAAACCTTTCCAAATGCCTAAAAAAGAGAGACTTGATGACACGATCTGGTGCTGCTGCAAGCTCACTGCCTGAATGTAAGCTTTTTCACCAGCTACAATTTCTTAGGGATAAAGTAACAAATTGGCCTACAGTCAGCAACTTGCCACAGGAAAGTGCCCCTATGCAAGAAATTCTGGGAAAAAGCTTGGCATCGCCTGTTAGTCCTGTCCCTTTTGCCCCAAGTCCTGCATCAAGCCTGGAATCGATGAGCACCAGGGAAACGAAAAAGAAAAACCACAACACTACTTCAAAGAAAACTATTAATTTCAGATGATGGGCATCCCGATAAACTTCTATACGAAGCATTAAAAGGAGATAATAGAGTGGAAGTTGATGCTGACCAGAGTTTCGCAAACAGTATTGTTCCAATTTTGAGGAACCTCCCTCCAAGAAAGAACAGTCAAGTCAAAATAGAAATTCAGCAATTGTTGCTTTGATATGAATTTGACGATGATGAGATCTAATTCGCAATTTTACAGTAATTTATTTTAGAAACACGATATGAATTTTATTTTAAAATATATTTTACAATCGTTGTATTAAAAGAAATAGCTTTACTCAAATGTCAAATGGATCTGCTGTTCTAGTTATTCTGTCTTTCTGCCAATCAACTGAGCCTGCTTCTGAATTGAAATAGTTTTTATAGTTTTCCCGAACCTGACGAGCATCTCTTGAATAACTATGCGAGGCAGCATTTCTGATTGGTAATAACCCATCGCAGATACAGTCCAGGTTTTTCCAGTCTCCTTCAGCATAGCCTTGTGGGCAATAGTTGCTTACTTCTCCAAATTTTCTCCCAAACATAAGGTAATTATGAAGGGCAACCACGGCTTTGGTAATCGAAACAACTGTCTCAACCTCTGTAATTATTGGCCTTCTAAAAATTCTAAATCTCGAGGCACATATACTAAAAACATTTTTCACTTGACGCCTAGCTCTGGAAATACGGTAGTTAGTGATTTGCTCCTCGGTACCCATCGCATTTCTTGCATATGGTTTCATTAGGTAAGGCTTAAAGGAAATGCCTCATCTCCAACGAAAACATACGGAAAAAAATCATTAGTCCCTGGCAACATTCTAGCTTTAGGGAGTTTCAACAAACCATTATCCATAGCAAAACCAAGCTTGATTGCTGCAAAAACCCCTCCATCACTTTGTCTTCCTGAATCACCGATGTCGATCATTGTAAATTCGTAGTTGGCATTCACAACAGCCATCAATACTATACTGTGGGTCTTCTTGTAGTTAAAAAAGAATGACCCACTGCGGGCAGGGGCTTGCATAACAACGTGCTTTCCATCTATTGCACCAACACAGTTTGGAAAGTTCAATTTCTCCTCAAATTCTTCTGCTATTTTTCTCCATTCGTCTTCGCTACTTGGGACCTTAAGATATCCTGCTTTAAACAGCTCAGTCCAAATTACTTCTGTAGTCTCTTTAACGATCCTACTAACAGAAGTTTTACTCATTCTGTAGCTTGCTGCAATAGTAGTTTGTGCATCTCCAGTTGCAAGATACCTGAGAGTGACTGATACGCGCTCTCCTGGCTGAATTGCTTCCCTTTTTACACAACTCTTTAAAACTTTTGGAGCTACCAATTGCAACAAATGTTCGTATTTTTTGATGTCATTCTAAATTGCTGGTAAAAAAGCATATGATCATACAATTTCATCTCTCTGATCAACAAATGATATTCACCCTTCTCTTTTCGCTCTGCGTATAACTTCCTAACCCAAATCCTTTTATTTTCCTTCTCTTTACTTCGTCGTATTTGCCGTCTTCTTAACAATAGCAGAACTATAATTTGCCTTCTTGTCAAACCCATTCTGAAAAATATCTATTGGCCTAATGTTATTGACCTTTTATCGTGAATTTTCTTTCGACCGATGTCGATCGAGGGCGGTCGATTCGACCGCTTTCATTTAAGTGGAAACTGGCCTTAAGAGGCTCGACCCCTCATTTTCTGCTTGACTTTCCAAACTTTATTGTCATAACTCTCAAACAGTATGGAGTATGTTAGGGGCAAAAGGCTCATTTTGAAGGTTTTTGTATGGAGAAATTCTTAGGGTTGTTTTTTGTCGTTTTCGGGCGTGGCTGAAATTTCATGGTGACGTCATAGTACTGAATTGCAGTGATTTTTGAAAAACAATTAATTAAATACATGTTATAAATCAGAAATAATTGCATCAATTAAAATATCTCATCGAAGCGATTCCAATGATGGTATTAGTTTTTCCGTAGCGTGAAGAGATTATTTTTTAAGATGAATTCAAATTCAAACCTTCATCATTAGGTTGTTGTGAACCCTAATGCGAGCCATGATCGTTTGGCAGCTACATTTTTAGCTACATTTTAAACGATTGAGGGAATTTGTTTATCTGTTATCTTCTTATTTGTCAAACAAAGCCAGATAATCTCTTTTGTTCTGGCTGATTGTTTACATAAGGATCGAATATCCCATCCAGACAGCGACAGCAGGTACAGTTCGAATTCGTAGTGGACATGCCGTGATCGAGTCATCATCTGATTGCCTAGGCGATCATTCCTAATCTAATTGCATTGGCTTTCACACTTCGAATTACTTCATTACTTTGCTAATCAATTGAATATGATCCGAGTTTGATAGGATTTCATCTCATTATCAGACATGGATCGTTCGACATTTATTTTGTGTTGTTGAAGACAGCATGGTTGGATTATTCAGGCAGTGAGTTCATCGTTTTTCGCTTAGTGGAAGAAATAGTGGTAAGTTGCTTACTTATTTTGATTTTATTTTAATCTATAATGAGATAGGCATCCCTTTCGCGATGTACTTAAAAACCCCTTTTTGATGTTTCTTTGATAAAAAAATATGATTTTTTACAGGATCAATCGGAGCTTCGTGTTGCGTACAACTATAATGTGGCTGACCCCGCGTGTTCCAACCGCTTTAATTTACTGATTTGGTTCGATCGATTATCCTCATGGATGGATTTTCTTCATCGTGAAAACTGTGGACAAAGGGATTTTCCGTTGCTTACAAGGAGAGTATTATTTACCAAGAAAATTCCTTTGGTGGAATGGAACAATTTTTTATTGCAACTTGGACTCTGTCAAAGTGGGATTTATTGTCAAAATGGATATTCTGTATACTTGTACTTTATTGAGGACATCTATTGGACTGGACATTTATGGATTGATTAATATATTGCTGTTTAATAGTATCACTGATAATTGGATTGTATATCATTTATTTCCATTGAGATTCATCTCGTTCGAAATGGTTTGTATTTTTCCCATTCTGGTTTCGCCTTGAAATTGTTTTGAGGAGTGAAGAGAAAGACTGAGCGGGAAGGTATGTTTGTATTTCTTATAATTTTTATTGTTCTTACTATAATAGAGCATCAATGTTTTTGCTTAAATATGGTTTACGGCCAGAAATTTTTCATTTCTGCTTTACTCATGATTTTTCTAACTCAGAAAATAATTTGCATGGATTTTATTCTATCGCTAATGTCCCTAAACCATATTCGCATTATCGGGAGGGATTCTTAATAATAGAAATTTATCTATTCTGAAATCATAACATTTGTTATTTTTCTGCCTAAAACTATAGCTGTAAATTATTCTTTCAAGTCAGAAACATTTATTGAATGAGTTTCTAAACAACATTAATTTGTCTGTGTTCACTGTGCTCACAATTTCATGTAGCATTCTAAGCACATTAATTATGTTAATATTATAATTGGAGACTTTTGACTTCGTTTATTTGTTTCAACAATTGAATCAAAGTTTAATTTATCAATTACAATAAAGTATCACATTATTTCTGCAGATGAATTAGTGCAAAAAAACATTTATAAAACCATTTCAAATTTTGGTAAGTTGATGGCTACTTCATAGCTTTTAACAGTTTCACCAAACTAATTGTTAAGTTTAGTTGATATTTCCTTTTTATTCTAATAAGAGAGTTAATATTGTCTTTCACTTGATTGAAACTCGTTGGGTTTATGAAGTCATTTCTAAAGATTATCAAGAAATTCCCAAATCAATTACAGTTCATTAACTAAAATTTCATATCTAGTAACTTTTGCGTAAAAAATTATAAATTCCAGACCTTTCCCTGCTTAGTATTTTCAATATGCTAAATTTTCTGATCATTTGAATGAACATTTGAACAGTGGCAGAGACTTGGGGGGGGGGGGGCAAGAGGGACGACCGCCCCCAATACTTTAGAGAACAATGGTCTTTTGTTCTAAAACAATGGGAAATGTGATGTCATCTTTTTAAAACAATAGGCTTGCCCTCCAATATTTGATCAAGTGTCTGCCCCTGCATTTGAAATTATTTGTACTGAATGTAATGTGCAATTTAACTTGAGACATATATAACCCCTTTCCCCCATATGCAACCCTCTTCCTCATAAGGACATATTGCCCCTCCACATATGGTGTACACAATTTGCAATTCTGTAATCATTAAGCTATGCTAAATATACATTGTTGTTGTTTTATCATTTTAAGGCAATTTATTTATATCATTCTAGTATTTCCTTATTGTATTTGCAGATGTGTTCCACTTGGCTTAATATTTCTTGTCTTGCTTGTTTTGCTTAAATTCTTCTTATATTTGGTGAGTATCATTGGTCTTTTTTTAGGCTGAACACCTTCTAATTCCTTTATACAACACTCTTAGTCCAATAATATGTATGCTGATCTTAACATGCTAAACCCGAATTTCAAATTGTTTTAAGTTTAAAAAGGTTTTATAAATATAAAACATTGGGGCTATGATTGTTGATTTCATTTCACAAAATTATTTTTATATTATTTTTTCTGCAATTCTAAAGTTAACTGTAGATGAGACATTGATGAATTGAATGTTGTTTTTTAACTATTGATACCCATATCATATTATTTTTTTTCTTTATAGTTTAAATTATTATATATGTTTGGTTTGCGTTCAAGAGAGCTTAGGGATATCGCCAAATCAGACTCACTGCAACTTCGCGAGCTTTACCCATATATTTTAAATTGAACTTGTTCCAGTTTATTCTTTGGTTCATTTACAATAAACAGTTGGTGAGTTTACAAATTACAAATTATATGGAATATAATATTTTGATATGATTTCCCCTGTCTATTGAATATCACTTCATACAGAAGTATATATGAATTACATAACATAGTGGTAATTGCAACAAATGGACTTGCTTAATGCAATCATAGTTTAATATCAAAATTGTCTATAGCATTATTGTACCATTCCAAAGAAGGGTTTTGAAATAGATCTTTTTGTTGCCATGTCTTTTGCATATGGAACATGATGTTTTTCAAACAGAAGATTTTTTCAAACATTAAATAACATTTGCTTATGCCCTGTTAGATGTTCAAATTTTATAAAAAATCAAACATTTTGATATATAGATAACCCTTCAACATATGGTCTGGTAGTTTTGTTTTGTTTTCCATTCTTGGAAATAAAAACTTTGATGCATATTGATGTATGCAGTTTGTCTAATACAATTTTTTCAATTTTGGAATTGATAACAGCATACTGATTCAAACATGATTATTCAATTTTGCAATTTTCCATTTATGTAGCCTTATCTTATACCCTTTTGTTTTCTTTCAAACAGTTGGTAATTATTGGATTGCATCCTGTTGTATTCATCAAGATATTTCAAATTACATTGTTGGTAAGTTTCCATTTAAACATTTTTAATGTTTTTTCTTATAAAAAAACCTACCATTTTTTGTTACATTTCAGTATTGTTTCCAATGGATATGTTTCCAAACAAACTTTTCATTACAACCTCATTGAAATTGAAACATTTCAATACCCAATATTTTAAGCTTCTTCTTTTTGTTAATGAAAAATATAAAGGAAAGAGAGGGTCTATCATTTTAAACTTTTTAGAATCAATTTTTAATACTTATTTGTCACACATGCTTAATTTCTGAATAACTGAATAATATTTCTGAATAACTGAGCTTGCTTTATTCAATTATAGTACCATGATATTAGCATGTTCATGATAAAAAATAATCTTTATACCACTTGGCACAACATATTGAAATTGAAAAATGGCCCTCAAATATGGTCCACGTATTTATATGACTATATTAGTTATGACAAAAAGTGCTTCTTATGGTACTTTCATACTATGAATTATATTGAAGGTACCATGAATTATATTATGACTGCAGTTTTTGTAATACAATTTTTTTCAATTTGGCTATGGATAACATCATGATGATTCAAACATGTTTAATCATGTAGACCAATTTTCCATTTATGTAGCCTTATCTTATATCTTTTTATTTTCTTTCAAACAGTTGGTAATTATTGGATTGGATCCTGTTGCCTTTTATTGAGATATTTTAAATTGTATTGTTGGTAAGTCTACATTTAACATTTTTTAATGTTTTTTCTTATATATGAATGTGGAGAAATCCGATACTTCATGAACATTCTAGAACAGTAAATACCTCAAGCAATAATGGATCTTTTATTACCTTTGTTTTGATTTAAATGTAGACCCATAGTTTCCATGAATATCCTCTTGTTTAGCAACTTATATGTATTCTGCCGACACTTAGGCCCATTTTACAGGAATGTTCCAGCGTAGCCTCGTATTCGTTATGCTTACCTCATGCTTATTAAACAGAACCTTAAAGTAAAATCTAGAACCGCGTAGTATATTAAGATCACAATAGAGTCTCTTATATTAGAACATTACTCATTGCTGACTGTAAGTGACGTAAATGCTGCGAAATAATGAAGTATGTGTCTAATATGTTTGGTAAAAGAAGTATAAATGCAGGTAGAATGTAATCTAGGGGGATTGGAGCACAGACTCGAAAGTTAAGAGCGTAAATGCGAAAATAAAAGCAATACAACACTCGGAAGCATTCTTTATCGTTATCAACTGTGAGTTATTGTCGTGGAGAACTTTATCATTCCTGACATGAACCTACCATTTTCTGTTACATTTCAGTATAATAATGGATATGTTTCCAAACAAACTCTTTATTACAACCCTATTGAAATTGAAATATTTAAATACCCAATATTTTAAGCTTCTTCTTTTTGTTAATGAAAAATATAATGGAAAGAGAGGGTCTATCATTTTAAACTTTTTACACCAAAATTCTAATGCTTTTTTCATACATGCTTGATTTGACTATGAATGATATATATGAATGACTGTATTTCACTAATCTGACCTTGCTTTATTCAATTGTATTGCCATTTTATCTGCATGTTTTTACAGAAATACATATACCATTTAGCACAAGATATTGAAGTTGGGAACTAGCCCTCAAAATATGGTCAAGATATCTTTGTTTTAGTAGGATTTTATGACAGAAACTGCTTTGTATAGTACTATGATATTAATAGAGAGTGCGGGAAAATAACCGACCCGAGCGAGGCTCGAACTCACGACCCCTGACTTTGTACGTCAAATGCTCTACCGCTGAGCTATCGGGTCGTAATCTACTATGATATTAGAACTATATAGCTAGAATTAAAGGTCAACTTGATCTGATCTTACTTTATTAGATTGTAATGCCATACTATAAGCATGTTTCTACATGAAATTATTTTTATATCATTTATCACAAGATATTGGGAACTAGCCCTAAACATATGGTCCGCATATGGTTACGATTTTATTATCTATGACTGAAACTAATTTATATAGTACTATAATATATGATTGAGTTATATATGTGAAAATATAACATTGAATTAGCAAATGTAGAGAAAATATATTATTCCAAAACCGTTAATGTGTTCATTACATCTTACATATCATAAGACTGAACTGATTTTCATTATAGATACTGTTGTTACTGCGTTTTTGTTGGTAGAGGTTTGTTCCTTTTGTTTTGCCAATAAGAGGTTTCCAATTGTTACCTCTTCTAACATTTTTAAACATTCTGCATCCAAATGTGCAACTATTACTGTCATTAACTTTCATCTGATTTATGTTTATATAACTGCAAACCAAAGAAGAGTTGATGCTGTTACAAAGATTCAGTTCAAAATATATTATTTTGCACAACAATCACAAAGATAAGACATTTGAATTGTATTGTCTAATTTCACTAAGGTTGATCAGTAATATTTATCTCTTTTTTTTCAGGATTTTATTAAACCCCATTTTAAAACCCTTTTATAAAAATGGGAAAAGCTAAGATAACATGGAGTATGGACATGAATGAAACACTGCTTAGTATTAGGAAATCCGCCTTAGCTAAGTAAGAAAAAGGTGATGGGCGAGCATTAATGAACATTTTTCTTGAGCACTGGCAGGAATTATTTCCAAATTCTAAGGTTACTGTGAATGCCTTGAAAATAAAGCTGAGCAAGTTAACTAGGGGGGCAGAAGGCAAGGTATCAACAGCAACTGAAACCGTCGGAAATATTGATAAGCCCACAGAAACTAAGCAGGATGAATCAGAAAATGTCATTGATAATCAATGGTCCACCCCAGTTGTTGAAACCACCCAAGGAATTGCAAACATGTTGAAGTTCATGTTAAAGGAGTGATTGGAACACTGAGCCAAAAATATACAATCCTACAAATTAAATAGCTTATAAACTGCATAGTCAAAAACTGCAATTAAAGTTCAACATTTTTAATTAGCTAATCAATCTCTAATGATCTTTGATACAAGCAAATAAAGACTGACCAATCCTTTGGTTTTTTAATAATTGTGAATTTTTTAAGCTCTTTCAAATTACCCCATCTTGTACAATTCCCTCTATTTAACAGTAAAACAGCTACCAAATTTGGAAGGGTGGTATCAAACAGGACTATAAAAGCTTTATTAAATTATTGAAATATTTGTTAGCAACCCTTTTACCAGCGATTTCCTGGCTATTTCCACAACTTATATACCAGCAGTTCTATATGATGTTGAAGAGTTACGGCATAATTGGACATGACACATAAAGTCAAATCGCATTTTAGAATAGCAAAAGTATTCGTTATCTTATTATTCTACATGCATATAGTGGTTAAAGTGGCAAGAATTTAAGTGTAGCGATTTTTCTCTGCTTATGTTTCAATACAATTGATTACAATATGAATTTTGAGGTTTAACTGCTTTAGATAGTTTATGCAATATTACCAAAAAAATCAAATTACTAAATGTTTGGCAAGCTGCTAAAGGACAAAAAATATATTTTAGAACCCTGACTTAAATCAGGATATAAAATGTGGTCACAATTTGGAGCATAAAACTGAACAGTTATTGGGTCTACATGGTGCACAAGGCATGTAGCAAATGCAACTGTAAAAACACCACAGTCCTTGTTGCTGAATTGGTACAACAACAAGCTCGTGTTCTTTTCTACCAAGAAGTGATGTCACTCTTTTGTAATAACATTGTTATATAAACTGTCATACAAATTAATCTGACTCTCCAGACAACCAAATAGAACTAACAAAAACTCGGTATCCAGTATACAGAATTTGTAACAGATCTGAGTTCACAACATTGAAATTTTTCCAAGGTTCCAGAATGTTCGTCGAAATCCATCAACATTAGGGGTTTGCTGTTGTAGCAAAACCTGAGCCTGGTAAATTATTGAGCCCAAATAAAACAATTAGAACAAGAGTCGAGGCACTGGAAATTAAAAAAAGAAGCAACTTGAATTGGTGTTATCTAGGTTAGAAGGGGGAGACAGGAGTCAATGAGCAAACAGGAAATGCAAAGGTAGATATGTAACGTTTCAGGACTTGTATTCTTCAGTAATTACTATTATTATGTTCAGCTAGATCTTTGATTATGTTGCGTGTTAATGTCACATGTTTGTTTGTCACGCCTTTGTGTTAGTAACTCCCTTTCCGGGAAATGTGCGTCACTGTCATCGTGCTGTGTGATGTTTCACAGTGTTCCTTTGTTTGTGTTTTAATATAATGTAATCCAACTTAGAATAATTGAGTCTCACTGTTTTTAACGATAAACATAACATCAAAGAACGAGTATCTCTTGTGTGCTATCTACTTGGGGCTAGGCCCGTTGGCCTAGCCCATCGCTCCACTAACGACCTGAGACCTGATACTTCACCGTCATAAGAAGAACCCTTATCGCTACAGATAATTTGCAAACACTGATTAGGCTTAATTTCAGGACTACAGGAATGGTATCCCCCCAAGAACAAAAGGATTAACTTTTCTTTATGAGCTTGATCGCCAGGTGGAGGATGGTTTTAAACGATTTTATCCTGAAAGAGAAGTGATTGACGCAATTATCAAATGTATTTCTCTTGTTATCAAATGTGTTTTCCTCTCAGCGATTCTATTAAAGCAATGCAAGGGAATCGTATTCTGCGCTTTGCAATATGGTTCAGTTTCCCACTGCGTAACTGCAAAATTTTCTAATGTGAGTCTTAAACCTCCGAAAAAAGTGCAAAATTGGGATTTGGAAAGCAAAACCCAAAGTCAGCAAGGTGCAAGTGACAACCACAATCAAAGAGAAAAAGGAAATGAAGGGCGATGAAGACCTGCTAGTAACAGAGAAATTGTTAGCTGAAATCCAGTCTTTAAAATCAGATGTGACAGCGTTGAAAGGGAATTTGAATAAGCAACTACCCCCAGATGCTCTACAAGGAAACTAGCAAATACACCGAGGCTTGAGGAAATACAGCTGATGGTGTGGACATTTTTGTGAAGCAAGCAGAGGGAACATACTACTTTAGATTTACCTATAGTTGGATATAATGTATTGGAAGAGTTACTATGCATCAGTGGTTTTGAAAATCCAGAATATAACCTACTGGGTAAATTATCTGCAAGTTTACCAATGATGCACAAAATGAATTTTGTGCCCTTTTGAATGCTATATTCGTGGAGAGGAAAGCACACTTTTCAGCTGTGAAGACATATAAGATAGACACAATAATTAAGGCAGAATACATTGTTAAATTATCATGTTGTCTCAATACAGGTTTCTTTGCAAGGGACACTTCAGTAGTTTTGAAAATGATGTGATGTGCCCCCTCCCCCCAGGGATTTCATTTAATGAGTCACTGCTGAATTTGAAAAGCAGTATTTGTTCTAGAGTAGACGTAGTTTTTAAAAATATAAGTGCCGATGACATTGTACTAAAGGGCAGGACCCGATTGGATCACTACATTTGGTTAGGACAGTTATGCCAGCTGCAGTGAAACTTATTGAAGATTACAAGGGTATGGGGATTCATTCGTAGACAGAGTAAGAAATTACACTGATGAAAGTTATAACCCTGATCTTGTACCTAAAGTCCCTTTGAGTAAAAATTTAACCATTTATCAGAAAGAATGTGTTCAGAGAATGTTATATAAAGAAAGAGATGTTGTCTAGCTAGTTTTTTTTCTTTTCCCTTGGCTGGTCTCCACCATGACCCTTTTCCTGATCTCCAGCACGCATCTTTTCCTTTGCCTTCTTTTTCCTCTTTTTGCTGCGTTCTGGCTCCTGGTGGTCTTCTTCTTCAAGGTTTTGAAAGAGTCTCCAAGAGCTCCTCCAAGAGCAAATGCTTGCGTGAAGAATGTCTCAGCAGTTTCATGTGTCGACAGGACTTGGAAAAAGGTGGTCAGCTGTGAATCGTTGAATATTGAGAATGGAGCAATGGGCTCCATGAGTGCCTGGATTGCTTTTTGCCCTTTCTCGAATTGTTCTCTATTGAACAGAGGCGATTTTTCCATGACAGACATGTTCTCGGACAGCGTTGCATGGAGGTCTGAAAGGGCAGTCGTAGGCCGCAAAGCCACTCGCAATTTTTAGGGCTTAGCCGGCTTAAAGCAGTGTCTTCTGTGAGTGTCTCTCTGCTTTTCTAGACGAGCGTAAAAAGTTTTTATGCAATTGAGAGAAGAATGAAACACCTTCTCCCTGCTCTGCCTCCTTTGTCAATGCCATTCTCTGAAAAGGAGAAAAGGAAAACATTGTAGCAAGGAGCATTAGAAGAAGCAAGTGAAATTTGCAGTTTTTCTTAACTTTCTGTGTTTTTCAGCGATCTAGTTTATAAGATGATTATGCAGTTGCCTTTTTCTCCAGCCGTAGTCTATATACAATAAGGGACAATATAGAAACTTAATATGACAATAATGTGTCATATCTGGAAAAAACTATGAAAGAAGTACCATGAAATGTTACTCTTTGAAAGCGCGCTTTTAACAGCAAGAACCATGGTAGGAATGTGTAGACGGAGAGAAATCCCGGGCTGTTTCTTTTTTTGCCAAGGAGAATATTCTTAAGTGTCTTTTAAGGTGGGAGACTTTTAAATTCCAAGTCTCCTCCTTCATTGCCATTCTTTTTGCAAACTCATCAATGTTGACAACCAACGACTTCATGTTGTAAAATTGTATGGCCGTTGTAAAAAGGCCCCACCAAAGCAAAGGTACTTTGAAGAAGGCTTCAGCCTTTTCATCTGTCAACAGAACCTTGAAAAAGTCTTTGACATTGTGTTGGCTTGGCTCGAAGTCGTTGAAAATTGAGAAATCTTGAATTGGCTCCATTAACGATTGCATACTTTTTTGCCCTTGCTCAATTTTCTCTGCAGTCAGAAGAGGCGACTTCTCAAGTATTTATGTTGACAGAGAGTGTGGCATGCAACTCTGAGATGGCGGTTTGTGGGGGACAAAGCCATTCACAATTTTTTTGAGTTGTTCTCCTCAATATTGTTTCTTCTGTGACTGTCTCCTCAGCCTTACCATAGGCCTTAGGAAGTTCTTGGGAAGTGGGAGAAAATCGAGACTCCCTCTCACTGTGTTGTTTCTTTTTTTAATGCCATTCTATGAAAGGAACAGAAAAAATATATTGAAGGGCGATTAAATGCATAATACGACATTGTCATACACAACACAGAGCCCAGGTACTAGACTTTTAATACACCAGTTTTTCGTCTTACCAGGAGTTCAAATGAGGGAAATAGTAAAAATGACCACACAGTGCTTGAAGCTACTGTAGAGAGGACATGAACAATTGTCTACAGCTATATACTATATGGACGATATCAAAATAATAATATTTAATAGCTACAATAAATTACTAGACAAATACTGCAAAATGTATTGAGTAAAAGGCACTTTTAATCAACAAGGAAGTCTATAAAGCATGTTGGCATGGCAGTATGTCAAAATCAAAAAAACGTCAAACGTAGAACACATATAGAAGCAGTCAAGGAAAGGAAAATCAACCTAGATTGGCCGGGCTCACTCTCAGACCTGGACCTGACGGAAATGCATTGTACTGACTTCCGTAAGCAGGTAGAGATCCTGGAAAGTCTTTACCCGGGAAAAGGCAACATAGGCTGTCACCCTAGGGGCAGAGGGCACATCAAACCAAAGGACCACTTTGGAAAGTGTTTGGCCCTGCACTTTTGCAATAGTGCAAGAGAATGAAGGGGTGCAGGGATAATAAGTCACACGGTATTCATCAAAATAAAGGCTGGAATACATTAGGCATTTAATTGCAGCATTTAGTTGACTGGCAATAAAGTGCCTAGTGTATTTGCAGAGGTTGCCTAATTATTGCCATACATTTTCAAATTATCAACATTCCGGAGTTTCCGTTTTAAAAGTTGAACATGTTCAACTTTTGGGCAATAAAATGCCCGGAAGTTCTTTTTGTATTTTGAAAATCCTCGCTGATTGCTATTGTTCAGTAAGGCGCCAAGATCATTTCAAGGACAGTTTCCAATAGCTCCTTGTCAATTTGTGAACCGCACGAAAACATGGCGTACAAATCGCAGCGATCAGAAGTCACTGAAGAATTTATTAATGCATGGAGAGAAGAAAAATTTTTGTGGCAAATAACATCTCTTCTCTACCGCGACAGAGGTGCAAAAAACAAGAGTTTGCAACATTTGGCGAATCATTTCTCTATGTCAGGTATTTATTGCAGTTCATAATGTTGTTCAGCACTGATTATAAGCCCTTTTTAGCAATTTTCTCACACTCATTAAAATAAAGTTCACATTAAAAAACATTTGATTTCCTTCTTTGTCTATCTATTTACTTCTTTATTTGATAATTTTCATTTTGACAATTTACGTTTTTAGAAAGTGAGGTAAAGCACAACAAAAAGTGGAGCAGGCAGAGACGAGGCATATGAGTCGAAATGGCCTCATTTTCAATCGATGGTGTTCTTGCGAGACACAGTCATTTCACGCAAAGCAACGTCTTCATTTGTACATATTGTATGGTTTACTGTTACTGCTCAAAATCATAATTTTTCCATTTCTACAACAATTTTTTGGATCGCCAACTTTACGTCAATCGGTAAATTCTGACGAAGAAAATGTTGGCTGGGTGTCACACACAATCTTGCAGTTTATTGTAGCTAGTTACGTTTTTGTCCTTTAGTATACTTTGCGTTGATAGAAGTTTATTCAGAATTATAAATACTACAAACAAACACAGTTAAAATAACAAACCTGATTAAGGATACAGCTTGACATTGTGACCGAATTATTACAATGTCTAGGTACAACAGCGATAAAAGGCAAAACTTTTACTACATAATTATTATAAAATAAATCTATCCTGCCATGGTACTTTTCCGTTTGAGTTGAAATATCTACAAAATTCGTCTCTAATCACTTTGCTGTTTTGCTTATAATTATTGCTACCCAAAATAAGAATCGATTGAAGGTTCCCTTGTTCTGCTCTCCAGCTTCCATCGCATATCTTTCCCTCATCAACAACTTCAACGTCAAAACTTCCAACCGGTGTGTAGCGTGATGGAGCCTTTCTCGTAAAAAATTGTGCAAGACGCAACTTGCCAAAACCACCTTCTCAGCATTTTCCGGGGAAATCATTAAAGGGGATAAAAAAACTCGAAACCTGTTAGCCAATATTCCAAATGCATTCTCTACGACACGTCTTGCTCTGCTTAACCTATAGTTGTAAATTCGCTGTTCAGATGACAGCCCTCTAAAAGGGTATGGCTTCATCAAATTATTTTGAAGAGGGAATGCATCATCTGCAACAATTACGAATGGTAATGCACTTTCGGAGCCTGTTGGTTGTCTGGGCGCTGGTATCCCCAAAAGATCTTTGCTTAACGCTTCTGACAATGAGCTGCCACGAAAAACTCCCCCATCACTTATTCTTTGACATTGACATACAAACGTTGACATACAAAAATTTGTATTTTGCATCCACCAATGCCAACAAAACGATGCTAAAAGTGCCTTTGTAATTGAAAAAATAGGAACCACTATTTTTTGGCTGCTTCATCATTATATGTTTGCCATCCATGGCCCCTATACAATTGGGGAAATTCCAATTTTCTTCAAATTCATTTGCAACAGCCATCCCTTCCTCTTCTGTTGAAGGCATCTAAAATGCAAAAATCTTTTTTCAGAACTATGGAAATGACGACGTCCCTAACAATGATGATGATGAAAAAGATTCTGCTGCTTATGATGCTGACGATGCTTATGATGATGCTGATGATGCTAATGATAATGATGTTGATGATGATGACGATGATGATGGCACCATTGGATTTAAAGAGGGGCAAAAAGGAAAACAGAAGTCAACAAAACAGCCGCTGCAAAAAAATAAAAAACGTGAGACAGAGGAAAAAAGTAAGGAGGGTAGAATGCTTGACGAAGCGATGTCTTTTCTAGCATCTAGGAAGAACAAGATAATGAATGCTGATGAAATTTTTGGCCAAAACGTCACAGCTGGGCTTCGAAATATAAAGGACATAAGAACTAAAGAATTCATAAAGGTGAAAATACAAGAGTTAATTTACCAAGGGCAGTTTGGGGTACACGATACCATGTCAACAGGCAACTCCTGGGCCAAGTACCGTGCCACAAGTAGTGCATCAGCAGTATCCGTACCCTCTTCAAAAAGATTACCATGAAACTCATGAACAAGGGCCATCTACATCTTACAATAATTAAACTTTCTGACAATTCTTTATCTACACCCATCATAATGTAGATAAATAAAATAAATTCACCTTCAAATGTTTGTCTTTCAATCTCGTATATAAGGCTTCACAAACTTCTGGTACAAACTGCGATATCGTGCTTTTGTGAATTCGAAACAAATGTTGCAGGTCGGCATAATTACTGCTGGTTGAAAGAAACCGAATGGTTGCAGCTAATTTCATTCTAGCTGGAATTGCCTCTCGAAAAGATGTATTATTTTTTTGGATGTCTTGCTGTATAAGGCTAAGAAGCTCGTCAAAGTTTTCGGATGACATCCTCAAAAACTTTTTATATTCTTCTGCATCTTCTAGGCGCAACTCGCGGAGCAGAGTGTTATCAACACCAAATTCGTTCCTACGGCTTGACCATGGCTTAACCCACATCGATCGACGCCTTTTCTTACGCATTCTTTTTCGTTTCTTAATAATTACATAAGCGATTAATGCTGATGCAGTGCACTCTTCATCTGAGTCCATGACTTGAATTTTTACTTTGTGAAAGCGTTTGAAAATGTTTTAAAAAATTGGGCTGACAAGAGATGAAAGCGAGGCAATAAACATTTTAAAGCTCAAACCCTATGAAAGAGAGGCAATGAGGCAAAAGTGAATTATCCACTTGATCATTGATGAATGATGGAAGTGTTGAAAAAATGTGCACCTTTCTTAGAGACAGTCAGAAACAGTGCCTCTGGATGCTGGCAAAATACAGAAACAACTTGATCTGATGTGACTGGACCCCTGATGAGCAGTGTTCAGCAGATCTGCTGCTCTGTCAGAGGCGAGTATCTGATTTGTGTCAGGAAGTCCAGTAGACTCTCGTCGAGTGCACAAACTGTTGATGGAGTGTTATGAGGTGACACTGTGACATAACTTGACAATCAGATGTGATGTTTGGCACCTCATGGCAGCATCCATCAACAGTGGCCAGTGGCTGCTGCTGAGAAAAGTCACCGCAAGCAACAAGAATTGGTCTACTTTGCAACACATCCAAAGTATGTAAAATATGGCGAAAAATATCAACTGACACTTGGGGAATCTCGTCATCGTATCTCATCACCTGCCAGTTGACAGAGAACCTGTCAGTCTCCAACACTGGACAGTGGAACATTGCGTGGATGGTATCACACTCTACCAGATCTCTGTATGACTGGCCATATATGCAAGCCAGTGCACCTGTTGGAGTGCAAACAGAGATGTGCAGTTCCTTAGTTATACACAAGTTGATGGCCTGATGGCATAAGTTTGTATAGCTTTAGCAGGGGCGGATGTAGATCAAAATGTGTCATTATTTTTTACATGATTTACAGACTTAAAAAAGACAAACATCTACTATTTATGAAGTATAATAAAAAGTTACAGTAGGTAAATGGGAATGCTTCATGTGGAGACTACTTGACTACATTAACAGGATTGGTAAGGTTTTAAAGAAGTTTTCTGGTTGTTGTTTGGTTATTACATTACTTTCTCTACCGAGGTATATTTCAAACACCTTGGGTGTTACACCCCTATACTCCCCACTATGTTCGTCTCTGAGTTTTGGATTCTTTTGAAATTTTTCAGTCGCTTTAGGGACTGTAAAAAATAGCTACAGGTGCCAGAGTAGCTATTTAGAGTTGATGGGAATTTTCTTGTCAAAACGTTTCCTGGCCGCAAGACCCCTATCAACAATATGTTATGATATCCTATACAGGGAAGAAAGGATAGGCAAACTCAAACTGAAAAGTAGAAATTTCTATGAATGGAGCTCATGTGTAGGTAAAAAGTAATCTAAGATTTAAAAAGACTAGTTTCAGTTCTAAAACTATACACATTGAGCATCATCTTCCCTTTTCACCACTCTCAGTCCTAGGTTCATCACAGAAAGCCAACAACTTTTACATGCCATTTTTGTAAAACCTAAATGGCTGCTATGTCTGTACAATTTAATTCAAGCAATATATGAAGTTGGCTTAAACATGCAGAATCTGACAAGAATGATAGCCATGCAGAAACTTAAAAACAAGTAAATTGTACTACCACCCTGGCAATTGTGAAACAGGATACAGCTTAAAAGACTGATATCCAGTTCTGAGGAGCAGAGATTGCTTCTTCTAATGATCTTGAAAGTCTCTATTGCAGTCCTTCACAGCCCAAGTTAGCATCATTCCCTAAAGGCTGCAAGAACCACTGCTTCAGAGCTATCTAGTACATAGGCTTTCGACGACTTGAGTATAGTTTCAAAGAGGACAAAGCATTTTGCTTTGCTCACAGAAACTTCAGCACATCCAAAGCAAAGTCCAACATAGCATTTACCAAAACAGGCTGGAATGCTTAGGCTAAAGCTATTGAAACAAATCGTGGTCTAAGAAAACACGATGCATGTAGCAACCATCTTCTCTCCATGACATGATGGGAGTCCTATGCTCAGGGGCGGTGCGCAGAGCTATAGAGTTGGTTATAGCTTCTCTGATTCATTTCTATAAAAACGGGAATGAAACTGGGCACCAAGAAAAAGCTAGATGTAAGGGGCCATTCGGTTTTGCAAGTGATCAAAAGACAGATGATAAAACTAAAAAATGCATTTCTCGAAATGAAGTAAAAATTTATGTAAAAAGAACCACATTTATAAAAAATGCAACTAATCTATTTTTTGGAAAATCTTTCAAAACGCCGTGCATTATACACAATCTTGCAGTTTATTGTAGCTAGTTACGTTTTTGTCCTTTAGTATACTTTGCGTTGATAGAAGTTTATTCAGAATTATAAATACTACAAACAAACACAGTTAAAATAACAAACCTGATTAAGGATACAGCTTGACATTGTGACCGAATTATTACAATGTCTAGGTACAACAGCGATAAAAGGCAAAACTTTTACTACATAATTATTATAAAATAAATCTATCCTGCCATGGTACTTTTCCGTTTGAGTTGAAATATCTACAAAATTCGTCTCTAATCACTTTGCTGTTTTGCTTATAATTATTGCTACCCAAAATAAGAATCGATTGAAGGTTCCCTTGTTCTGCTCTCCAGCTTCCATCGCATATCTTTCCCTCATCAACAACTTCAACGTCAAAACTTCCAACCGGTGTGTAGCGTGATGGAGCCTTTCTCGTAAAAAATTGTGCAAGACGCAACTTGCCAAAACCACCTTCTCAGCATTTTCCGGGGAAATCATTAAAGGGGATAAAAAAACTCGAAACCTGTTAGCCAATATTCCAAATGCATTCTCTACGACACGTCTTGCTCTGCTTAACCTATAGTTGTAAATTCGCTGTTCAGATGACAGCCCTCTAAAAGGGTATGGCTTCATCAAATTATTTTGAAGAGGGAATGCATCATCTGCAACAATTACGAATGGTAATGCACTTTCGGAGCCTGTTGGTTGTCTGGGCGCTGGTATCCCCAAAAGATCTTTGCTTAACGCTTCTGACAAGGTTTTAAAGAAGTTTTCTGGTTGTTGTTTGGTTATTACATTACTTTCTCTACCGAGGTATATTTCAAACACCTTGGGTGTTACACCCCTATACTCCCCACTATGTTCGTCTCTGAGTTTTGGATTCTTTTGAAATTTTTCAGTCGCTTTAGGGACTGTAAAAAATAGCTACAGGTGCCAGAGTAGCTATTTAGAGTTGATGGGAATTTTCTTGTCAAAACGTTTCCTGGCCGCAAGACCCCTATCAACAATATGTTATGATATCCTATACAGGGAAGAAAGGATAGGCAAACTCAAACTGAAAAGTAGAAATTTCTATGAATGGAGCTCATGTGTAGGTAAAAAGTAATCTAAGATTTAAAAAGACTAGTTTCAGTTCTAAAACTATACACATTGAGCATCATCTTCCCTTTTCACCACTCTCAGTCCTAGGTTCATCACAGAAAGCCAACAACTTTTACATGCCATTTTTGTAAAACCTAAATGGCTGCTATGTCTGTACAATTTAATTCAAGCAATATATGAAGTTGGCTTAAACATGCAGAATCTGACAAGAATGATAGCCATGCAGAAACTTAAAAACAAGTAAATTGTACTACCACCCTGGCAATTGTGAAACAGGATACAGCTTAAAAGACTGATATCCAGTTCTGAGGAGCAGAGATTGCTTCTTCTAATGATCTTGAAAGTCTCTATTGCAGTCCTTCACAGCCCAAGTTAGCATCATTCCCTAAAGGCTGCAAGAACCACTGCTTCAGAGCTATCTAGTACATAGGCTTTCGACGACTTGAGTATAGTTTCAAAGAGGACAAAGCATTTTGCTTTGCTCACAGAAACTTCAGCACATCCAAAGCAAAGTCCAACATAGCATTTACCAAAACAGGCTGGAATGCTTAGGCTAAAGCTATTGAAACAAATCGTGGTCTAAGAAAACACGATGCATGTAGCAACCATCTTCTCTCCATGACATGATGGGAGTCCTATGCTCAGGGGCGGTGCGCAGAGCTATAGAGTTGGTTATAGCTTCTCTGATTCATTTCTATAAAAACGGGAATGAAACTGGGCACCAAGAAAAAGCTAGATGTAAGGGGCCATTCGGTTTTGCAAGTGATCAAAAGACAGATGATAAAACTAAAAAATGCATTTCTCGAAATGAAGTAAAAATTTATGTAAAAAGAACCACATTTATAAAAAATGCAACTAATCTATTTTTTGGAAAATCTTTCAAAACGCCGTGCATTATATGATTGAAATCATGCGATAATGTTTTCTTTAAAATTAGGCATTTAAAATTGTTCTTTTCTGCTTTGCTTCATTCTTGACCTTGAATCCGAAATTACACGTTTAATACGACTAAAAACACGCTCCCAGTGCACGCTGGTGAGAGGTGTTACGGCTGCTAATTTCAATAATGTCATAACTTGAGGTAGGGCTTCTTCGAGCTCGGCATCCTTTATCACGGACAGTAGATCCTGTAAACCGGCGTACCCTTCCTTTACTGAATCGAAGTCAATACCTTGTTTACTTTCGATCTCAAATTCGTTTTTTTCTTCAAAATCGTCTAATGCCTTCCTTTCTACTGCAATATCCAATGCTGTTTCCTCGGATTCTGTTAAATGCTTCCTTCGACTTTCCTTTTTCTTGGCGACTACAGCATCT